CCCCCCCCCCCCCCCCCCCACCGCGCATCGCCGGCACCCCCTCGTCGTCCTTCATCGCCCGCCCCCATAGCCGACTTTCGTAACCATCGACGCTCCGCGTCGAGGACGAAATATCTTGCCACCGTTTCCCCGGCTTCTTGCCTCTGTCGGTAATTAACGCGACCTTCCTGCCGCCGGAAAAGTGTAAAGGGACGCTTGGGGCGGATAGCTTGGACGGTGCGCGCACGCGGGGGTGGACGACGACGCGTCGGGGTGGAGAGCGACGACAGGGACCATTGCGAGCGAGGGCGTAATTCCGTTAAGTGTCTTCGTAAACTTCGTTAGCTGCATTTCCCGACATTACCCACCCTACCGCGCTGCCGCGCAACCCCCGACACATCCCCCCCGCCCCCGCGGGGCGGAATATGAGGACGCGACAACGGCAACGACGAGGACAGCGATGACGGCGGCGGTCGTCGCCGCATGGTCGGTAATGTTACCGCCGATAGGTTGTGTCGAATTGCTTTTTTAGAGTTGCGTAATGGACGGAAATCGAGCGCGAAAATATATTCCATCGCGCGCTCCAACGCCAGCTATTAAAATACCTAATAACGTCAAGATATTCGTCGCAACGGCCGGATTTCAACGTTGGAAAAATACCTTACACCTTTCGCATAAAATCGCGCTTCTCTGGATTACATTTACTATCTTTTTTTTTTTTTCGCGTAACGTCTAACGTAACAAAGAAATATCGTCCTTTTTTTCTCCTCTCGAGCTAGACTACATTCAGATTTTCATACCATTTTATCCTTCTATAATTGTTCGCCAAAAAAATGTTAAGCAAAGGTAAAAGAAAATAATACCTATAGGAAGCACTCTCGGGTGGGAATCTAAACGCGCCCTCGAAACGTTAAAATGTAACTAACGAAAAAAAAAATTCGAGCGTAACGACACTCATACAAAAACGCACTAATCAAAAGAGTAAATAATTCCGTTGTTGAATTATACATCAGTTTGATACACGCGATCACATTGAGATGTGCGGGCATGCTGATATTATTTCGAGAGCTCATGAATAATGGACAACGCGTATTAGTGTTGCAAATGTAACATTAGTTACATTCAAATCGAAGATAATGATAATCATTAACCGTAATTTACAAATAATATATGAGTTGATTATGCCAGAATGCGCAGTAATTTTCACCGGAACAAATCCGCGTGCGGTTTCGCGATTGCTAACGAACCGAAAACTATAATCTACATTGCAATGCACATCGTTAAATCACTCTTATAATTCATTATACTGCTGACATTCGTTAATATGTCCATTACTGAAGTGGATAATCGAGTGTCTTTTTCTTCGATTTTACATTGTTATGTTTTGATGTTGATTCTGCTCGTAATATTAATACACAAGATATATATATATACATATATATATATAACTCTTCAGTCTTATTCATTAACAATTACATATGCAATCCTAAAACGTCGTCAATTACTACTTCTGTATCTTAATAAGACACTGTAGTTATCAAGAATAGAAGTGATAATTGGCGACGTTTTAGAATTGCATATGTAATTGTTTAATAATGTAAATACATTATTATCTTGTTATAAGCGCTAATTTGGCCTATATATTATATATATATATATATACATGTGTGTATGTATGTATGTGTATGTATACTTATATACATATAATTATATTTTATTCGTTCATACCATCGTTGGATAGAGAACCTTTGTTGGAATTCTTAAAGTGTTGAATAAATACGTAATTAACGCTACATTACGGAAGCAGCACTTGGGTTATGTTCAACTCAATTCTATTGCTTATAACTTTTATTTAAAAAATGAATAATTTGTGGACAACTTTCTTTTCAAGCAAAACGCCAAATATCAAGGAATATAACGATACTAAGCAAATGTATGTACCTTTATTAATAAAAAAAGTTAGAAGCGATAGAATAAAACGTTGAAAGAGCATTTGAAAAAAAAAAATGTGCCATATCAAAAAAGCATTAAATGAATTCAAAAAAGGAACGTATCCTTACGAAGCACAGTTAATTCTTATTAATTTAAAATCAGGTTAAAAATTAGCTTAGAACTGTGCAAAATATTGATGTTAGTAACAGTATCCTCAAAAGCATAAAATCTTTCACCAGCAAAATGTATTGATTGCACAAATACATTCGTCACGCTGTTACACGTTAAATTCTTGAGGGTATCCTTCTCGTTCGTGATAAAGAAACATGCCGCGGGCAGATGCTAACAGATCAGGATGCTGTATTAAATATAATAACTGCGGCGGGTTTTCGCGCTTGAACTGCTCGAATTATGTTACATCATATTCGCTTTGTGCTTTACAAGTATCGCCAACTACAATAGGAGCAGACACCTGGAACGCTCGCGCAACGTTTCATTTCGTGTCCGAGGATACAATGTATCCACTTAAACCAGGTAAAACTAACGGAAATCTCTCTCCCTCTCTTTCGACCAACAAGGTAATTTCATTAACAAACGCGTCAACATACCAACTGTGTTTTAAACGTAACAGATAAAACAGGCGAATTTTGGACAAACGACATTTTTCACCAATCAACGGAATTAATGTATTGACTAGAAATAACACAAAAGAATTTTCTCTTTTTCTATTAGACTCACCTAGATCCATTTCCTCGTTTTCTCGGTGTATTTTCTCTGAAACAGAAAAAGTATTATATATATATATATATATATATATATATATATATATATGTATAATTTATTATTATTATTAAAAAATAACAAAAATTTTAGCAAAAAATGTGTTTCCTGAAGAACAAAATTTTAGAATTTTAAATTACTTAGTGCGCAACTTAAAATTTGACTTGGTGCAAAAATAAAAATGTACAGAAAATATATACCTATAGTAAACATTATAATTAACATAATGATATAATGAATTATTAATTTTATCCTTCTCTAATAATATTTATTTAGACTTTTTATTTGTGACATTTTGTATTTAGGAAAGAGATTTTCTTCTTATTTTACCATCGATTATAATAGATTACCGACATGAGATTTAGAAGCAAAACGCGCGGGAAAAAAAAGAAATGAAAATGACGACGCGCGAACCAACGCGTGGAACCAATACGAGGAAAAAAGAAATAAAAGCGGAGAAAAAATCCCGAGAGCAACACGGGTCTCATTGAAAAGATTCTCCGCTAATAGGCATTATATTTTTCGTTCTGTATATTACGAGAGGCAGTTGGATTATACGAGCCTGTCAGTGGCCTAATAACTGGTCTAAGGCCCGCCTCACATCTGATACGGGAAAAGGACCCTTTCCTATACATTGTGTGCATTAAATACTAATCGCAACGCGCACGAGCATGATCGCAATATAATGGCATCAAGGTAAGCGATATACGTGTGGCAGCTTCAAAGGATGCCGACATAAAAAAAAAAAAAATGAAAAAATACGTCCCGTATAAGACATCAATATGCGATCACCTTCGTGAGACTTTTCCCATCAATTTTATTTAATAAACATTTAAAACCCGGTAATTATATTTAAAAATAAAACTATACTGACCATATTTCTTCAACTTAAAAAATCTTATATCTATAGAAGTAAAAGAGAATAAAAGCACAGGAAAAACGAATAACAACGGCTACTAAATTCGTTGCACATCGCGCTCTTTCGACAGTTTCGAGAAAGAATAGATATGCCAGAAGTGGTGTAATCCGCTCTCGCTGTACCGTTATTAAAATAACGCTTTCGTATTTGTAGTCGCCACGAGACCATCGGCCATTTTCTGTCGTCGCATGGCGGTCCCTTGCTCCAATGCAGATCGGGTCGCTGCAATTTCCCTCCCCTGCTCGCCTCGAACGCGCTGTTTCCAAAGGGGTTGCTAAGGCTGATACTCCGACAGCAAGGGGTCTCGTCGCACAGAGGGTTCATCTCTCATGCGAGGTGGGTTGATGGCACGGAATTTCACCCCCGTGGGGTCGACCACGGAGAGATATCCCGGGATATTATCCCTCGGGAAGCCGTGTAATGAAACCGTTCCGGCACCCCCGTGGCATTATTCCCTCACCAATAGCTTACCACCCTCCAACAAGGATATATGGTGCATGATATGGGGCACAGCTGCGCGTCGGTACCGATACGCCTCCTCCTTTATCACATCGGTCGTCCCTTAGCGGAGGATAAACATAGCAGAGCCGGCGTCAGCAACGATGCATCATTAAGAAATCCCTGAGCTCCATTACATAAGCCCTTCACCCTTTTCAGGACCAGTCGCCATTTTCTACCAATTTCTCACGAGGGGTGCATAAAATGAATACGCAATAGAACATCGTGCGTTTACAGAGAAAATGTTTGAAACGTATACGAGTTATATTGTGCGCATAAGAAAACATAGAAATTTCCTTTTCTTTGAATAAGATATATAATTGCACGATGAATTAAAACTAAAAAGCAGGAGAGAGAGAGGTGATAGAAAAAAATTTTTTAATACACTCACAATGCGAGAGACGCAATTTTATAGTTGTTAGAACGTAACAGAAAATCATTGTTTCGACCAGTTTATATTTAACGAAGGCGGATCAGTGAAGAGAGAAAACAGCATACTATATGGGCATCGTTATTAGTGAATCCACGTAATTGCTTTATCCCCTCATGTATCTCATACCAACATTTTTCGATTCTTCTCCATATTCACAGGGACCAGAGATAACGAGATATCGTGTGTCGAAAAGATGGTAACTTTTAAAAACGACAGCGCCATACGAGAATTACAAGATGTGTCGTACACGCGACGAGAAGAAAACAATAATTCGCAATCATCTCTCCAGGAAATCTAAACAATTTCTCATTGAAAATCATTTTTTTGTTTTTTTTAATTCGGTGTTTCACGTATTTTTCGCATGTTGGTTAACGATATGAATAAAGGATATTTAGACGTAACATGATAACGGTTCACCACGCGTACGAAAAAGGGATTTTCGTACACGAATGCTTTCTCTTTGAGCGCACAGAGCATAGATACCGTAACGTCATATATCTTTTTGTGCCTTTTATACGTTAACATACGTTATATGAAAAACTTCTCATTTATGTGCAATTTTTCTGCGATTCACTCGAGTCGCATCTTGCGTTCGTGTGCGCGCTTCATTTTCTTTTCATCTATTCCGCTCGTATCGTTTTCTTCCAGCCGTATTACCGCTAATAAACGTGTATTAATCAATAATTAATATTATACATAATTATCGCGGAATATTATGAGACGAATCGCCTATCCCAAGCTTATCTTTAAAATTTTCTCGAAACGTTATGAAAGCTTCGTCCCTAAAAACATTATGAAACTGTCGTCTCTTATTCCAAGCGCTAAATATTCTGTCATTGTTTGTAAATAAATTTTCCAGAATGCAAAAATATAGTGAGATCGACCCATTCGTATATTTTTTTGTTGAGATTTGCTTTGACGATGGTGTGCTTTAGCTTTTGGTGTTGCTCTCTACTGAAAGAGATGAGGTCTTTTTCCTTTATGAAAAGATTTCTCATGTTCATGGGGAATCGTGTTATTTCTACGTTTTAAAATACGTCGAGATACAATGGACTGATAAAATTTTGTACAGAAAAGATAACTTTCGCACAATAGAGTCTTCCAATATATTGCACATCTTGTTCTTGTCGCACATGTTAGTTCGTCTTGCATTGAAATCTCAATCTCAGTTCTGAATCTGACCGCGAAAGCTAACCCCACACAGAAGCGTCGGCACACGTTTCTTCAAATCATTGACTTTGTCCATTCAATGAAACCTACGTTCTAAAGCAAAAGCTCGGGCGCGCGTACAGAAACGGGGCCCGGCGTTTCTCGAGAGCCTCACGAGAGAGCCAGTTTCCGATTCGCTGTACAATAATATGACGGAAATGTCAGTCAATTAATAAGCATAACGAACCTAACTAATTTCCGCCTTTGTTCCACTGCGCGGTCTCGGATATATGAATGAGTGGCCATTATGCGTGCGTGTATGTGCGGGCCTTTATGATTGGTCAGATCCGTATCGCGACAGCCGGTTCCGCTTTTACCGGGCCGAACACCGCGGCCGTCGCGGCAAAATCTCGTGAACCTTTTTTAACCGCGTGCACGTGCCGACGGGATATCGTTTTCGTTCTTGGTCCCTGCATCGTCCTAACCACCGTCCTTCTTCCGTCAACTGATTTTTTTTTCCTTACACTTGTATCTTTCGTCGTGCCGCGGTCTTACGAGCGGCGCAATGACATGAAGCGGGAATGAGAGAAACTTGACGGCAGAATACAACAATCCATCATACACCGTAATAAATATTGTATTATATATATAAATATAATATTTAGTATAGATGTAATTAAATACACCAGGAATTGTGTATCATATACTTAATCATTTACAGGTATCGATTGATAATTCAAGTAAAAAAGTATAATTTTACAAACACAATGGATAACCCTGAGACAATGTTCTCATAAACAAGTTCGAGTGAAATAGACCGATCGACCGATAAAAATGTGCAACCGAAAAAAATTACGGTCACGATCTCATTTTGTCGAAATACCCAAAAATGCAGAAAACCGAGGAAAAATATTGCGAAATCAGTATTTCACGCGAGTACGAATCGCGTTTTTATATTCATGGAAATATCCAAACACGCCAGGTGAGAAACCAATGGTTATGCGTCGAACGCGCGTCGTTATACGCCTTCACTGTGCTTTCATTGTACGATTGAAAAATATTTGCGTATATTTTCGAGCACGATTATACATTTTTTCGTCACATCTTTTCTTGCATATTTTTAGCGATTTTTAAACATCACATACATATACAATATCTGTAATAAAAAAAAAAATAGTAAGATAAAAATTAAAAAGATATTACATATTCCTAAAATCAATTCCTCTTCTAAATCAAACGTCAAGCATATTCCACCAGAAATAACAAATATTCTTTAAATGACGAATAAGTAAACTTAGTTTAGCGTATTACGAAAACAAGTAATAGTAGTTATTGGAATCTGTGCAATACATGTAGATCGTGGAATTAAATAATAAACGTTAATCGGTTTTATGGAAGCGTTTCATTTCACACATCCAAAGAATATTATTTTTATTATTTTCAACGATAACAATCGCCACTGTTGAACCGAGTAGAAATCACTCTCCGATTTCGTCCGATTACTTGAAAACTTTTCCAAAGGACTCTGCCAGCAATGGAGACGAAAGGGGTTGGAGATTTCACTGAAGGATCATCGCGCTTTAAACGTTTTCATTTCGTGGCATTTCTCTGGACACGAAGAGCCGCAGGAAGAAAAAAAGAAGGCAGAAGGGGAAAGGTTTGCGATGGCGTCGTGGGATTCGCTGCTGATTGGACGATGGCAAGGGTACGCATTTTTAGCCACCCTTCGGATCTGCCCTCATTGTCATTTTAATTTCGATCCCCTCGGGGGCCAAAGAGAGGGTGGGGCGTAACAGGGGGAACGCTATAGGAGCTACGCACCCTTGGCAAGATTGGCTCGACGACGCAGAAACTGGTTACAACGGAAACACAGTGAGATTATACCGGGTGTTCTAAAATCAAATTAATGAAAGACCTGTGCAGGACGCGTAACTCAAGATTTTTATTTATTTACAAATCTATAATTTAGTTATTTCCTGTAAAAAGGCAAATATC